TAGGTGCAGACATCAATGACCACCACTAAAATGGCAAGCACATACCTGCCATTCAGTGGATTCCTAAGCATATGGCCTTCAGAGCAATGGCTGCAGTGTGAGCATTGCAGGAGTGAATAGATGAACCCAAGCTAATCTCCACCCCACAATTTCACAGTGTCGTCCAAAAGGCGAACTCTTTCTTAAGGCAATTAGGCTGAAGGATCAATTCCCCCCTTTATTTTCTGCAGTACAAAAGGAAATGCAAGTAGGGAAAGAACAAAGGGTTTTCTGCCCTTCAAAGGGACTGAAAGAATATCACCACCTTGGCAGAATTGCCTTGCGTTTCCTCTGCCATGTTAGAGTAATACAACCTGACTGCAAAGGAAAACGTTGAGAGGGAAAGGCTGCCTCTCATATTCTAATCCAGAGGGAGACTGGGTTAGTGTTAAGCACTCTCAGTGGGCAAATGACTCACATATCCCATTTCCTCCCTCTTTCCAGCTTCAACCCACTCCAGCTACCTGTCAGTGAAATATCTCCCCAAATCTTTCCAAGCAGGTGCCTCTCCTTCCCCCCCTCATTCTATCCCAATGAGAGAATGTTGTTGTTCTACACCAGCCTTCCCCAACCTTGTGCCTTCCAGACACATTTGGACTGCAGCTCCCAAAATCCCCAGTCAGTGACCCTGTCAGATGGGAATTCTGGGAGTTGCAGTCCAAGTGCTTCTGAAGGCCACCAGGCTGGGGAAGACTTTTCCGCACCACCACAGATGTACCAGGCCTCCAGGAGAGCATCCAGTGTTGCCCTGGCACTATCACTGCACTAAGTCTTAGCCTAGGCCAGTGGTGGCGAACCCATGGCACGCGTGCCACAGCGGCCACGCGGAGCCCTCTCTGCCGGCACGCGAGCCAAGTTGCCCCAGCATCGCCCCAGCAGCCCAGCATCGGGTAACAGTGCACACAGGGACCGTGCGCATGCTCGGAAAGGAGTAGCGGCACCAGGTGCAACTCATTAGCTGCAACTCATCCGAGCTTTCTCATGGCCGGTCAGTGTGCTGCCAAGGATATAGATATATTTGCTTGGACTGGCTGTGAGGTGTTTTTTCTGAACTAAAACCTCAGTTTTCAGGTTGTATTGTGTTTAGAATGGGCAGAAATGATGAGCTGTGTGGAAAAACCTACTCAAGGAAGGCTTTTTCAAAATCGCCTTCTCTGTTGGCACAGGAGCCAAGTTGCCCCAGCAGCTGAGCATCGGGTAACAGCACACACAGGAGTCATGGGCATGCTTGGAAAGGAGTAGCGGCGCCAGGTGATGACGTCACGAGCCGCGACTCGTCCGAGCTTTCACATGGCTGGTCAGTGTGCTGCCAAGGATGGATGGATGGATATTGATTGATTGATTGCAGTGTTGGCACTTTGAGATAAATAAGTGGGTTTTGGGTTGCAGTTTGGGCACTCGGTCTCTAAAAGGTTCACCATCGCTGGCCTAAGCATAAACCGATGCTCGTGCAGTGCAGCTTTGATTGAACGGGCAGCAGTCCCCGACCATTTTAAACGTGGAGGGAGCTTTGGGGAACTGGAGAAACTGCTGTGGATTGTCACATCAGGGATGCCAGAGCAGACTGGCTAGCCCAAAGAGGTGGGCAGGGGGTGGGGGTGAACAAGGCTGAGCAGAAAAAATAGCAGAGTAAAAGTGCAGAGGGATACGAAAGAGTGAGACTTGAAGTTAGAAAGGGGACAGCTAAGAGAAACAGAATAAGGGGGTGAGCGGGAGAGAAAGAGCGAGGTTACAGGCCAAGAAGGGAGAGAAGAATGCTGGGGATGTAGAAGGGAGAGAAATAGCTAGACTATGTATAGTGGCTAAAAAGCTGGATTTTCATAAATAAGTATTTACATATATATTCATTGCTGTGGATATATGCTAGTCCATATACCCGTTTTACAAATGGTGAATTAAAGAGCTTTAGGGGTGCCAATGCACCATGCGTTTGCTCCACTTTGCAAGGTTCATTGAAGGGCCCCATGGCTTCCACAGCACCCCTGAGTGCCATGATGGGAAAAGAGCAATTTGCTGCCCAAACTGGGCAATGTGGTAGCAAAACTGGGCAGTGCAGCACCCTAACCCACCAGCACTTTCCAGCAGCAAATCCAAAAATTTCCCCACTGAACCTCCAAGTGTTAGTGATGTTGGGAAGTGTTAGTTTGCACTAGTGCAAGGTCTTAGTGCAAGGCATTCTACGCTTAGGAATGAGATGCTAGTCACTCTCTTCAGCACCTGCATTGTAGCTTCAGGATGGCTTCCCTTCTCTTCCATTTTAGCTTACTGCAGAAGCAAGGACACCTAAGAAATAAGCAGACGAGACCCTTAAAAGCTTAGATTTGAATATAATTTTCTATAGCAGTCCATCAGACTGTATTGGTGGCATTGCGCTGTTGGCTTTTTTGACCTGTTGCAACGTGCTGCCCTATTCAAAGAGCTCATCTGGCTTCCAGCCAGCCCTGCCCCCCTCCAGGACGGAAGAGCTGAAGCAGAGTATGTCATCCCGGTCCTCCAGCCAGCCAGCCAGCCAGCCAGCCAGAGCAGCGTTCCATTTGCTGTTCTGATTCTCTGCTCTCTATCACATGTAGTCCTCATGGAAGGGTGGGCTTGGACAGTGTACCCCCTCCCTCCCCCAGGCCTATTTAGGAAAATGTGTTCTGTGATTCTGCAAACTTCAGCATGCCATCATCTCCCTCCCGTTTCCCAGTGGCTGTGTTTTGGCTCCAGGCCTGCCAGCACTCACTAATTGAGTACACCATTCAAGAGAACAATGCCTACTTCCAACTTTGTAAAACCACAGGCTGTAAATGTTCCATTCCGGCCGGACTAGCAAGTGCCTTCCAAGTACGATGGATTTATCCTAAAATCTGACACGGAGCGCAGCTTTCTTCGGTATGATATGAGAATGCACAAAATGTATGAAGCTATGAGACAATTAACACACAAATAAAACACGCCGGCCAAACACAGGCTTCCATTATGAAGCATTTGCTTTCTTCTTGTATTTATTCCATTAGAGCATATGCCAAAGTACAGAAAAAGCTTTATGGAAACGTTTGCCTGTGCATTTAAAAACAGACTGCTTACAAATCACACTTGCCCTGCATGTAGTTTGCTTGCATTGTGCAGTGTCCAAAGCATTTGCATTAATCTGTGATAAGCGGCGGCATCAACATGTTCACTCAAGAAATGTATTCAGTCTTTCCCACTAGGCATACAAAGCACCAAAGCACCTTGCTGAAACCTTGCATGTCACAAATGCTTTCCTATTATTACTGCTTTAAAAAAAGGAAGAAGAAACTTAATGGGAGGGCTGAGGGGCAAGAACCAACTCATCTTAAAATTACTATTTTAACTATATTGGTCATGTATTAAAAACTGGCTGGAATGTGCTGGAAAACAGGTCAAGTGTTCAAAACTGGTTGGAATAAAATGGGACTCGTGATGGTAAACTTTGGCTGCAGTCCTGCATCCAATTAGTCATGTGCTAACGGTCTTTTTGTTAAGAGTCCCCTTGGCTTGGAGGCAGTGGGGGAGGGGGGTTTTAAGTAACTCTGGTGATCATTGCATAGTTGCCCAGTAGATACTGCACAGGCCAGCATGCAATGTTTGTTGGAAAGAACTGCTGAAAGGGGCTTGTCTAGATTGCCTGAGGGAGCCGAACCTATCATGCATAGCACGATCATTTATATTTCCAAACCCAGAAGAGGCATTGGTGAGCTTCAAACTACCCATCTACATTCCCTGGGGTTGCACCAAGCAATATAAACGTATGAGAACAAATGACACTGCCAAGCAGAGCTCTGAGAAATCACGTCATATTTTGAAGCTTTGGTGAGAAAAGTCAAGAACTTTGGAGCCCAGATAGTTTTCTCTTCGGTTCTTCCAGTTCTTGGAAGAGGAACAGACAGGGAAAGAAAAATACTCCAGGTGAATACCTGGCTACAAAGGTGGTACTGACATGAGAGATTCGGGTCCTGGCTGTTAGAGCAGTACGACAGCGGACCCAATGGCCTGGGGAGGTTGTGGACTCTCCCACGCTGGAGACATCCAAGTGGCAGCTGGACGGCCATCTGAGGGGGATGGTTTAACCTGCCCTGAGCAGGAGGTTGGATCTGATGGCCTTCTTGGCCCCTTCCAACTCTACTATTCTGTGATATGGGGGAACAGTTCTTTTATTATACAAGCACAGTAGTAGTACAGTTACAACATCTTATTCCCCGCACGATTGTTTACTAGTTGTGCAAACAGACAGAGGGAGAAAGCCACACATACAGTGCAATCTAGCACATGTCTATTCAGAAGTAATCTTCATTGAGTGTCGTGTCCAGGAAAGTGTGAACAGGATTGCAGGCTAGATTTCTTTTCCTCTCCTATTTGCTTTTGTCCCCTCTGATGGAGTCTCAGCACCGAGTGATAAACTTATTGGAAGATATACAGTGTAGGAAAACTGCTGAATTATAAAATACAACTTTTTATACTAGGTTCTACTAGGAAAGTTACTCCTGTAGATTTTTTGGAGGCCATTCTGTTTTCTAACTAAAAATGCCAATTTAAAATAAAAAAACAGGTCTCACCAACCCAGGTTACAGGATCAGCACAAGCCATGGTGGCTTGCTGTGACTTTCAGGGTGTGCCAGATGCAACATACATAATCACCACCTGACTACAATTTGTTGAATCCACCAAACCTGGGGCAGCGTGGCTGCTTGGAGGGTGAAGGAGACAAGTGGGGGTTGCTTAGCCCTCCAACCTGCCAGGCTATTCTGGTTTGGGCGACACAGTAAACCATGTTCAAGCAGTAATTATGCAAATTGCACTAGCACCCCCCACAATTCACATCAGGCCACCATGGCTTAGTTGAGCCTGCTTATTTGGAATGCGCAAACCAGCCCTGTGTTCAAAAGCTCATTCCCGAGAAAGAATGGAGCTGAATAAAACTTCAATATGTGGGGTAAAGGCAGAGTACAGATACACACAAATATTTTAAAATGCATTTCGATTCCCTCTGAGCACACAATTTACACCTTCTCTGCTACCCCAGCATATATATATAAATCTGCGTGTCTGAAGTTATTACTTCATATATCCAATGAAGAGTAGTTTTCACAAAAGCGTAGCATGGAATAAATTTGTTCATCTTTCAGGCAGCTGTCCAGTTATGCTAACTAATTCCCATCAGTCCCAGCCAGTACAGTGGCACCAGGTTGGGAAATGGTACGTTTAGGTGTCTCAAGAACCTATGTTGTTCTCCCTTATATAACTGCTCTATGTGCCTGTAAAAATTTAATAAGACAAGTCCTCTATCTTCCAGCACTGGACTAAGAGCTAATATTCTATGATTTCATCCCATGGTGTTGCCATGACACATGAAAGGCTCAGCAGTGCAAGATGGATCATTCCCTTCCAATTCTCTCTCTCTCTCTCTCTCTTTCTCTCACACACACAGCAGTCCTAGCAACATGGTAATTTTGTGGGAAAGTCCTATGGGACAGGCCCCAATTATATCAAGCCTGGCCATCACCTGTCCCCTTACCATCTCATGTTCACCCCAGTTCAGAATGTGCGGGCTGCTACATGTGCCTGCAATGCTTCTAAAATGGCAGCATCACTTCCTGTTTCCCCACTTTGCTCTGCTGTCACTGTTGGCACACCAGCAGCGGTTCTGTGCAGGCACACGACGTCCTGGGACTGGGACATGGCCCCCTACATTGTGCCTCTGTAACAAAATCAAACTGTACCTCACCAGGGAGGGCACAGTAATCATGAGCCACTTCTGAGCTGAAAGCAGTTCCTCTGTCTGCTGACTAAAAGCACAAGAGAGATACTCCTTCCCCAGGAATAATTTATTCTTTTAAGCCGATGAAATTGTATCAGGTGTTTATTGATAAGGGGGTTCATTGTGCATCAAATACTCATTGATGCACAGTGGTTTTATTCATTAAACAGGTGTGATTAGCATCTTCCCCATTTTATTTGTTGCAATCTCTGTAGTTCAAATATTGGGTCATTCTTTTCTCCAGCTACTCTGGGGAAAGGTGGAGCAAACAGAATTTGTTCAAAATAGTGCCAAAACAATATAAACAGATGGCGTGTAATTCCCAAGTTAGTTTTCTATATGCTGAGAATGTATGGTGGGAAAGTTTGCTGTTTATTCATTGGACTTTCAGAATTCAAAGCACCACACGCCTGTGCATGAGAAAAAGACGGGCACCAAACAGGAAATCAGTTTAGAAGTGTCCCATATGTTGCCAAAAGAGCCAATCATCTGGGTGTGATTATGCACACATCAAATAAAGGAAGCTGTATTAAATGGCTAGTAATTAAGTACAGATTATAGCCCTGGGAGCATTCACTTGTGTGCTTAACTTTAAATTCAAGGAGGATGCTGTTTTACCAGGACTGAAGGATTAGAGCTATACACACATTTTTGTATGCACATGAAACAGCAGAAATGCAACAGTAATTGGGAATGTTTTCCTTCCGTCTGTTCAGTAATGTTTTTTATTCACAAATGCTTTGTGATGAAATTCACAAAGTGTATTGCAGGGCATGGTCAGTTTTAAAACTATGTGAGATTTTTAATCATTCTATACATGAAATGATTGCAGTAACTTCCAGATTTTGCTCAAACTGCACAATTAAAGCTGCAATCTTGAACGTAAATTCCATTGAATTCAATGGGACTTACTTCTGAGCAGACATGCATAAGATTGCCCTGTTGAGATTCATGTCTAACTGGACTGTGAGAAAGAAATGGCACCATTTGCTAGTTCCTTACTAAACCTTCCCAAAAATGCTGCATCAGGCTGAGACTTGAAATAGTCAGGAAACCACATTTCGTCATTTCTTCCCCCAAACTGTACAGCACAACAGAGCTGACTGTGTTATTTGGATGTCTCACAAACTTATTCCATGGACTCTAGATAACTTCTAACAGGAAACATCTTTTTGCTTCTGGCACACACACACGCGCGCGCCCCAAATGTTACTTGAGCAATACAGAGCATTCTGAACTTGATCAGATGCTTGTGTGTGGGCACAGATCTCATCATTCTGGGGATCATCTATTTCACTCCTGGGAACTTGTGGGGGCCAATCCGGCCCGTTCCCTGTAAATGCAGCTGCTGTGCAGCATTCGGAGCACAGAAGACCTAACCAGGCAGAAGGGAGGGAGGCAACATGGCGCTTCTGTACAAGGCATGCCCTGGGCTAGATCACAGTTTAGAGACGGTCGTGCCACAGGTGGTCTTCCAAATGTTGTTGAACTACAACTCCCACTGGCCAGCACAGCCAGGGAGGAGGAATGATCTGAGTTTGAGGACCGCGTGTTCCACAACCCTGATCCAAAAGGTGTGATTATAGCCAGCTAGAGCAGGATGGTACCCTAACACTGAGCTTTTCTACCTGAGGCGTGCATTGTGTATGCATCCTCACTCAAGGGAGTCTGTGGGTGCTTTAGATGGGAATGACATCTTCCAGGGCCTCTCCCATACTTTTTCATGGGGGAGGGAACAGTTATGGGGGAAAGTCTTGATATTCTGGGGAATGGCTGAATGAAACCCTAGAATAGTTGTGGAATTCCTCTATACCAAAGCAGAGTTATGTAGGGGAACATATAAGGCAAAGAGGAAGGGAAAAAATGTGTGCAGAGGATCTAATCTTAATCCCACAAAGAACCCAGAAGCCAGAGTAAAGTGGCAGGCTGAAAGCTCATCTTGGAAAGCTCATGGTCATGGTTAGAGTAGGCCTACTGCAATCAGTGTGGCTTCAGTTAAATGTGGGTTGCTCTCAATGATTTCAGTGGGTCTGGAAGCCTGAATGTAACCCATTTGTTTTTGTTTTTTTTCAGATGGCATTACCTTGCAAGCTCAGAATCAAGCCAAACTGACTTTAGTGGGGCTTACTTCCAGGCAACAGAGCAATCCTACTTGCCCCAGGGAGAGATGATTATTGAAGAACTGGCTTTCAAGCCTTCTAGGTGTTTACCCTTTACCCTTCTGGGCTTTTGCTGATGTGGGAAGCATGGAGTTTTTGCTCTTTCAGGTTCTTTTTGGCCATTTTTGTGTTTGAATTCCATACCGTTGCTTTAGAAGGGAGGGAATTTCTCCACAAAAATCACAATAACTATAAATAAATAATGTGTGATTTTTTTTTAACTCCATGATGGCTTTTACTATAAAATCTGCTGCTTTCCTTTGGAAATAATGCATGAGAATGTTACCTTTTCACTAAAAAGTGACTGTCTTCTATGGACATTCTTTGAAGTCAAGTTGTCATATGCATTAAACAGCTTCTTCCCGCAGTAAAGTCAAATGTATGCTGAAGTATCATTAGGATGATGATGATGATGATGGGAACTGCCCTTCCCGATTGAAAATTTCAACAAGGCTTAATGGAACATTAGTTCCTGCCTCCTATGCATGCATACAGTAGGAGAAAGAAGACATCTGTACAAACATCCCATATTCCCATCTTTAGCAGAAAGGAACGGCCAAATGGCTATACAGGAAGTGTGCACTGACCTCCCAAACCTTTACTGCCCCGTTGCATATACAGATCTCTGGGAACCCGCACAGCTGTACCAGAAGTAGGGAGCCAGGGCCCCACTTGCCATTCAGGAGCACTATGCCTACAGCATAAGTAGATCAAACGGATAAGATCTCTCTTAAAAATGATCCTCAGAACTCACATGCAACACAAAACATCCAGGTTTCGCTGGTTAATCCGAATGTAGCAGAAGCACACTCTTTAAAATACGCTAGTTGGAAAGCTGAAACTTAAAGGCTGAAAGGCAGCACAAGTGCTGGAGAGCCAGGGTTCTACATTGCTTACAGCACAGAAACTTAAGAGTTTAGCTTCTCACAAGTGTACTGGGTGCCCTTGGGCCCATCATTGTTTGCATGTTGTAGAGAAAAGGGAGGGGAGGACCTTGCAAGAAGGGCAAAAGGAAAAATGGGTTTCAAAACAGAATGGTCAACTGGCCTAGTACAAGCCTCCTCTGTGAACCAAAGCAGCTCTTTGGGTACAAGCCAATGATGAACTACTTCTCAAATTTTAAACTGACTGAAAATATCAATTTCATGTCCAGTCCATGCAACATGGAAAGCAGTATGTTCTAACTGCCTGCATGTAAGAAGGTATTTATTTCTCCAAATGTGTTGCCTTGGTAATTAGTTATTTCAAAAATTGGGAAGAAAGCAGAAGGTATATGACCTCTATATATTATGAACGATGAATGAATTATTAAGTATAATAAAATCAGCCTTGCTGCTGCTAGGGTAGAATGGAAATCACCTTGTCCATCAAACCCCGTCTTCCTTCCTTGTATGAATAATGGAAGAGCTCTACCTTGTTAAAGGATTCTGGACATAAAAATGAAATATTACCATTGTGTGCATTAGTTTCAAGTAAGCCACATTTGGTTTTCATTGACATGTGTTGCTTTGCAGTTAACTTGAACAAATAAAACTCTCCTCTCCTAATAACTCGCTGGTATGTTCATTTTAGCCAATTTGCCAGGATCCAAACATGGGAGTTACAATGCAAAACCCTGACTGAGAAACATCGCCAGAGTATGTCAGGACCAAACCCAATTATAATATTTCTGATAGAGTGTGTTTAAACGAAATGCACACCTTAAAAAAGAAACAAACTTGGAACTGAATAGATGCACTGATGTCTTTGTTTTAGCTTCCCTCTATTCCCAAAGTATGTACATGTGGGAGAAATTTAATTTGTTTCAAACCTTTAGGTCTGGCTTCTGTTAAATCGTGTACTCTGGTTGTAACTTCCTGAGGCTGTACAATACCATGTCTTCAATAAAGATTCCATTAAAGTTTTAAAAAGGGTAACAAATACTGTGACCCAGATGATAGTCCATGGCTTCTAACACAAGAAGTACTGTTTTGACTTCCTAAAAGGTATACTGAGCCCTCTACTGCTTGCAGTTCCTCACCCCCACTAGCATCCAAGAGGGAGAAGAAACCCAAGAGGAGATGGTGGCAGAAAGATCCCCTTTTTCTAAGATGTCTATGTACAAAAAGAGCCACTCTGTAACTGAAAAGCCTTCCAAAGCTGCTGCTTTCCCGAATGCTACATAGTTCCAGAATACTTCTAGACTGGAAAGTGGCACAGATATTGTACAACATTTAACCTACTTTAGCCAAGCTTCCACTGGCTGGTTCTACAAGTGCCAAGAGGTGAATTCCTTCCTACATGAAGTTACACGAGAAAGCTTTGGACAGCTACAGCCAGCTAGTCAATGCTTTAGGAGAAACACTGTAGTAATTTTCCATGCATGTGGAAGTTAAGGACATTTCTGACAGTGCCCTTCTGTTCTGCTTCTATAGTTCTAAAACAATCGCTAAAGAACAGGTGATTTTCCACCTCTGGTTCTTACACTGCCTTTGGAGCCCCGATCGCCATTACCACTGAATGCTGGAGTGCATGCGTCTTCCCTTGGTGGGAGCCCGGCACGGCCGACAGCAAGAAATGGGGCATGGTGCTGGTTGAGCTGCATGCTAACTGGCGTTCCCAGGACCAGGCCAGGTCTCACAACACCAGAGGACTCTCTGGCTCCCCGATTTTCTCTTTCTCTGGCAGGATAAGCACGAAGGGGAGAAGGATGCCCTTCGTGTCATAGGGTGCTTTGAGCAGTTCAGTGTCAAAGGTGCCCTTGAGTCCGCCATCCGCCTCCACCTCGCCATTCTGGGACAGGTTGAAGCACAGCATTCCCGTCCGGTTGACACAGTAGATGGTGCTGCCCAGCGCCGCACAGCGGAACGGCTGCACCGGGCTCCCGGCGGGTCGCAGGGACGAGCACTGGCTCCAGTGCTTGGCCACGGTGTTGTACCGGAAAACTTCCACCCCAGCTGCCTGACCTTGTTCCCCACGACCGCTGCTCACGTCGAAGCGGTAGATGAAGCTCTTGTAGGCCACCATGTCAGCCGAGCGCCGCCGGCTGCTGTTGTAGGGGCATTCCTGCCATTCATTCCTCCGGGGATCGTACTTGAGCAGACGGTAGAAGAGCGACCCTCCGGACACATAGATCTCCCCGTTGCAGGTGGTGGCTTCGTGTGCCACCGCAAAGGCTCCCTTAGGCAGGGGGGCCACCGGGCTCCACCGATCTGCCCGGGGGTCATATTTCTCCACCGTGAAGAGGCACTCTCCCCCCACAGCATAGAGGTAGCCATCCAAAGCCAGAAGCTTCAGCTGGGAGCGAGGCTGCCCCATGGGCTTCACCTGGCTCCAGGCGTCAGTCAAGGGGTTGTAGCAAAAGACCTTGTCGGACAGCCTGGCCCGCTGGTCCCCTGGGGCCGTGGAGATGCCCCCAGCCAGGAAGAGGTAGTTGTAGAGCACGCACATGGCGCACCCCTTGGCGTTGGCCTCCTCGGGCAGGCGGGTGAGCACCCTCCACTCCCTGGCAGCCGCCTGGTAGCTGTAGAGCAGGTAGCTGCTCTCGTCCAGGGACACCACGGAGGAAGGGCTCTGGGGCCGGCTGCTCTCCCGGCTCTGCGGGCGGCTGCCCGCACTGAGCCTCTCGAAGGCGTCACTCACCTCGGCTACCAGCAGGCAGGGCTTGCCAGCCTCCAGGCGGCGCTGCAGGATCAGGTCCCTCTCGGCGCCGCTCAGGCGCCCGTAGACGGCCGGCTCGCGCAGCACCTGCAGGTAGTGGTCGCTCATGAACCGGTAGGCGGCCTCTCGCAGCTCGGCCAGCCGCTGCTTCTTGGCCAGGCAGAGCAGCTGGTAGCAGTTGTCGAGGCGGAGCTGCGCCCGCATGGCCTCGGCCGCGCAGTGCAGCGCGCACGGCATCTGGAGCACGCGGGCGCCGCTCACCACCTCGGCCAGGTTGTCGTGGCGCACCTCGCCCATGCGCGCCGTGTACACGTACTCCAGCAGCAGGCGCAGGGCCCCGTAGCTCACCCCCTTGACGCGCAAGATGTCCCGCGACGAGCGCGCGCGGAAGTAGTCGCTCTTCGCCGCCAGCACCGCCTTGTGCGCCCGGATGCGGCGCCCGGACACCTCGATCACCAGGTCCGGCTCCTCGTCCGGCACCTGCGAAGCGCACGGGTCCAGGTGCTGCTGCTGCTGCTGCGGAGGGCACGGCTCGCCGCCCTGAGCGGGAACGCTGAAGGAGCCGGGCGCGGACGGCTGCAACTGCTCGCTGGCGCAGCCTCTCCCGCCGCCTTCTTCCTCGTCCTCCGACTCGGACGCCGCGTTGTTGATCTCCCACTGGCTCTGGACCACACGGCTACTGCTGCAGGACGAGGACGACGGGGAAGAGGCGGACGCGTCGACCTCCGGCTGCGGGGCTTTGTCCGCGTCTCCGCCGCCGCCAGCGCCGCCGCCGTCGGGCGAACTGAAACACAGCGCGGAGCTGAAGCTGCAGGGCGCCTGCAAGGGGAGCTGCGCGCCTGTATCCGCGCCGCCGCCGGGCTCTTCCTCTGCCGCAACGCGCCGCTCCATGGTGGCGAGCTGCTCGCCGCTGCCCCTGGCCGCCACTTCCCCGTCGGCAGCTCTCCCTGGCGTCGCTAGCTGCTGCTGCTGCAGCTGCGTCTCTCCGGGGCGCTTCTTTGCCTCGTGGACTTGCCCATTCTCACCTGGAGACACAAGGACACAAGACAGGGCTGAGTTCTCCATAAGCGCGCCGGCCGGCCGGCCGACCGGCCAGCCTGCCCGCCAGCCTTCCTTCCCTCGCTGCCTGCCTGCCTGCCTGCCTCACGCAGGCACCTTTTCCTCCCACCGCCCTCCCTAGTGCCGCTTTGCGCAGCTCTGGAAGCGACTGCGCGGAGGACGCTGCCTTTTCTGCTCGGATCGGCTTTCTTGGCGCGCGGTCAATTTCCGCACTAGTTCCCCACCCGCCGGGCTTTCTCTCTTGGAGCGAGGCGTGGCGGCGGCGGCGGCGGCGGCGGCGGCGGAGCAGCAGCAGCAGCAGCAGCAGCAGCAGCAGCCAGAGCCGCTCACCGCTGAACTTTTGAACCGTCCGGGAGGCTTTTGGTTAGCTGCAGCCCCCGAGCGGCTCGAGCTGCCCGGTCGCAGTGTTTGATCAGGCCGAGCCTCCCTGGGTGGCGCTTGGAAGATGAAAGTCCAGAGCTCTCCGTTCCTGGGAAGGAGGGGCCGGAACAGGAGAACAGAGAAGGGACCCTCCCACCCACTTCAAAGCACTTTTTGGCACCCATGGCGTGCTCGTATTTTCCCAGCGCATCCTATTCCGCTTCCTCCTCACCAGCGCTTCCTTTGCCTCAGTTTTCACGCAGTCCTATCCCCGCTGCTCCGTAAGCCTTCCATGCTCCAGGCAGAGATCACCAAGGCGCATCGAACTCTGCGTGCCAGCAGAGATTATGCAAGTTATGCCTATCTTCATGTATTTCCGTAATTTACTGAACAAAGCTAAGCCCTGGCCTCTGATCACTGCTGCATCCTATGGCTTCTAGGTTGCACTCTGCACAAGCCTTTCTGAACAACCTTGAGCCCTAGAAACTTGCATGTTTAAAAATGGAAACAAAGTGCTTATTTCCAGGTAATATGCTTGGCTTGGTAAATCCAGACAAAGTCTGTTATTTCTCTAAAAACAATTTGTACACACAAGCACAGTAGTCATCTGCTAACAAAGCCAGTGTAGCATAGTGGTTAAGAGCTGGACTGGGGACCTGGGGGATTTAGGTTGTAGATCTGGGACAGTCAAAGACTCTCAGCCTGACCTATACCTCACAGGGTTGTTATGAGGATAAACATGGCAAGGAGGACCATGTTAGCAGCCTTGTGAAAGAAAGGCAGGACAAGAAAGTAGTAATAAGAATAACAGATGAATAAATAAAATACACATTATTCAGAAGTGGCCTCAGTTTGCTACTGCTGATTCCCAAATAAGAGTGCCTTAAAATGCAGCCAAGCGGCATAGCCTGATTCTGTGTATCCATAGAATCAGTTCCACTGAGCTTAATTTTTACACAAGTATGCATGCATATTCATAAGTATGCATGAATATTGCCTTATGTGCTAAAGAAACTAAGGCTGCCACCCCAAGCAGCATATTCCACGGAATGTAAGAGGCTAACGGCCAATTGGTCCAAAATCAATGCTTTGTGAATTAACTTTGGTCATGGAGTGAAACCATGGTGGTCGTGTGTGCTGTCATGCATATATCAAGCCCACAGTATGGGCACAGCATTATTACCACACTTGTAAAGACTTGCAAGAACTGGTCACAGTGCGTTGTATGAAAAAGCTGGAACTGCTTTCCTATATGCCATACTTCAGGCACATTGTGAGAAGGAAAGATTCACTAGAGAAGATAATCATGTTTGGGAAAGTCAAAAGCAGAAGGCGAAAGGGAAGGCCAAATATAAAATAGATTTAGTCCATAAAGGAAGTCACAACCTTAAATTTGTAAGAGTTGAACGGAGGGCACTTTGGAGGGTCACCGTGAGTCAGAGACAACTTGACGGCACGTAACAACAACATATGCCCACATCCATTTGGCGGGTTTTGGCGGGGTGGCTTCCTGCTCTCTTCTATCAAAGGACCAGGAGCAAACAAACAATCCTGAGCAGGCACACTGATCCAGTGATGCTGTTCTGCCATACCCTGCTGCTTATCTTCATGATCCTGTCATCTTGTTATCAAGTATGAATGATGAAGAGCATAAAAAGGCCTTTTGTAAGTAGAAACGGGGACCTGGAGTTTCCTACTGTGAGTCCATCAAAGGCTGTTCTTAAGCATTTTTTACATGTGATGTCAGGATGAAGCTGCCATTAAGCAGGAACTGATTTGGCTGTGGGTTCTCCAGCCAGCATTTGAATCATTTGCACAAGGGAAAGGTTGTCATGGAAATGTAAAATAATATTAAATAAGCTTGTGGCTCCAATAGATTACTTAGCATGTTTAATCTATCAGCTCATCGCTTGTGAGTCCTCTTTGAGTAATCGAAAGGCTCAGACATTAAATATTCCCCCCTCTGAAACAGGTACAAAGCTGCAAAAGAAAAGAGAATTCTGCGTACAGGGAAGTTTTCACCGCTAATGCAGTGGGAAAAGCTGGACCTGTTGAAGATGTTGCGTTACATAAAGCAGCCTCCTTCAACCCATTGACCTCCAGAGGTTTTGGACTACGACTTCCTTCACCCCCATCAGCATTTCTCATGGGAGTTGTAGCCCAAAGCACCTGCAGGACCCCAGGTTGGGGACTGCTGACATACATGCACTTCAATGCACTCCGATCACTTAATATTTGTCAACCAGTTGACAATGCTGCTGGGATGACCAGTTAGCTTTGGTTAGGGTTGTGCTACCTGAAGCTCTTGTGATGGAGGGCATCCTGTGTGTTCTTTCTTCAATATGCAGGGCTTGGGAATGTGGTCCTTTTTATTACTATTGTTTGGATGGACAGTGAGCATCAAATACAGTCATTCCAAAAGGTAATTCTGAAATCATTTCAGTGGAATAAATGAATAGCAATACTGTACATTTTCAGAATATTTTAGAAAGAGATTCCTCATCAATCTCCACTTGGTCAGCAAGCTGGCAAAGGAGCGTCAAAGAAATCTTCCATTGTCTTACATGTTCATTGTGCTTTTCTCCACCTATGTAACAGAAAAAGCTTTCGTTACGGTTCAGTTTTAAAATGAAACAATCCCCATGTCATATATTTCACCTGGATTGATTCCTACAGAAGCAACTTTTGTTCAACTACTGTAACTGAATTCCCTGTAATAGTGAATTCTCTATCCTAGAAGCTAGACACGCCTTTCCCCATGCCCTAATTTAAAATATGACCCAAAACTGCAGTTCATTTTAAAAACTCTTCAGGCTTTTACTGGAATAAGAGAATATGTCATTTCCATCCACCAATTGGGAGTGCGGCTTCATATCTAGCTGATAAAACAAGCCTAAATCTAGTACTGTGCAAACTGTCTGGCAGAACAAGGCATGGACTGACATCGAAAGTTGCACAGAAACCATTCAGAGGGACCTAGACAGACACCACTTTCACATCCTAACTGTATAGAATCTTTCCAGGCAACATTGCCTCTTGGGAAGATTTAAAATCTGATTAACACTGTGCAGTATCTATAAACCTATTTTCACATACAAAGCTCTCATAGTAAATCCCAGGAGTGAGGCTGTAATCCTTAAACTACTTTCCCACGCAAGTGGTTGGCGGAATCTTGTATAAGTAACATGAAACTTCATTAATTGCACACATTACCTGAATAAAGACTATTGATGAATTACTTGTTTATCATTACAGTAAGATCTCACTTTTTTCCTCTTGCAAAGAAGCCAGGGTGGCTTATGTGAGTCTCCTCCCCATTTTACTCTCACATCAACCCTGAGAGGTAGGCTAGACTGAGAGTGACTAGCCTGAAGTCATCCATAGAGTTTCACAGTTGAGTGGAGACTAGAATCAAGATCTCCCAAGTCCCAGTCTAATGCTCTATCCACTACACCACACTAGCTCTCAAATAATAGTCTGCTCCTCAAACTTCAATACCAATAACATGCCTCAAATGCTATCCTAAAGTTGTACTTGCAGCAAGTTCCAGGACTTGAGGCACACGGATGCTAAAGTTATTCAGTTGTTTAGTTTAAAATGATAGGTCATGCAATTTATCAAGTGTTGAGTTGATTCTTACAAAGAATTTACTTTAATCACAGTTTCTAAAAGACAGTGAGCTAAATAGAATCTCGCACACTCATGCCAGGGAACTTCCCCTTGCCCTCCTCTTCCCTGCAGCCTCCTGTGTGTGTCCCAGCTCTGCTCCAGAGGACCCCCACAACCCTTTCAAGCAGTTCTGCGGCCGACACAGGAGGTTGCAAATCTGTTCTGCTGGCTGTTTCCATTCCACTGGCAGATGGCCAGAACTGAATCCAATCCAAGTACTAATAACTTTATACTTAAAGTTGCATTTCACATTAGCCAATTTAAGGTGCAAGTAATTGTAGCCCTTTCTCTGTCTAAACTTGTATTTTGCATACCTTGGCTCAATCATCAATTCAAATGGAGACTTCAAGAGTTTAAAAGAAGACTGCAACTTGGAAGGGCAGCAGTGCAAGCACTGCAAAAGATCCTCAAATGCAAGGACATTTTGCTGGGGACCAAGGCCAAGATCGTCCATGCCTTTGTATTCCTGGGTGTGAAAGCTGGACAATGAAGAAAGCTAACTGAGAAAAAATGATACATTTGAAACATGGTGCTGGAGGAGAGCTTGGTGAATATCCTAGACTGAGAAAAAGGTGAACAAGTGGGTCCCAGATCAAATCAAGCCAGAACTTGCCCTGATGAAACTGAAGCTTCTGTATTTGGGGCACATCAGGAGAAGGCAAGATTCACTAGAGAAGGTATTAATGCTCAGACACACCAAGGGCAGAAAAAGTGGAAGACCAAATTTGGGATGGATTGATTCCATAAGTTTTAAAGCTTAAAATATGAAATTAAAATAGCAAATTAAATTCACTACAATAGTGGATTTTAATATGAATTAAAATAGTGCTTTGCTAAAGTTTGTTATATGAACCTAGCCAGCCGAGTATGAACCATTTCATTTATTAAAGAATTTCTAACATTTTTGTTCTGCTTTGTTCCCATCCATTTGCTCTGGCATTAATCAAAGAATGTAATGATGGACATGGGAATCTTCATCAACCATTAATTGTGCTGATGGTCTTGGCAGCGATACACTACCCATATCCTGGACACACATCCCTCAGCTAGTGAGTGAGAAGTACTCAGCTAAGAAAATGTTGGCAGCAAGAAGCAACCCTCAGAAACAGGGTTTTAAGCAGCACTGATGTTGTGTCCTTAAGACCGCCATAACATTTCCAAGCGTTAGCCTACCTATACATCTGCTAGCCTTAGAGCCATACCGTCCCTGATTTTGCATTCTATTGTTTTTAATCCTTTAACTTGACTAAATCCCTGAATCATTGGTGAGCAGAGCTTCCACCCTGCCTTGTTATACTACACAGTAGTTGTCCCCAAAACATCACACACCAGCAGACTATTGTGATCAGAGGATATGACCACCTTGCATCAGATATACATCAGTCTCATTCATTTTAATGGGGCTTTTTAAAGGTGAAGTTATCTTAGACCACTTGTCCACCTGACTCCGTATTACCTACTTTGGCAGATAGTAGCATGATCCAGTTCAAACTAAGTACCTTTTAGCCCATTGATTTCAGCGGGAACCACTTAAGAGTAGGCTTAGTTGTTCTACTGAAATCAAGAGCACTCAAAGGTCCCTGCCTTTGGCTGGATCATGGTTAAAGAAGCTTTCCTTGAATCAGCATGAAAAAGAAAAGTGTTTCACTTGCTTGCTTTTAAAAAACTGCCTAATCAGCAAAAATTGAACTTTCCTGTCTATGAGATAGGTAATTTACACATGGGAAATTTCAGGATGGATGGCATATTTTCCCCCTTTGTATTAGCAAGGTGGTCAGACTTTCAGCTTGAGAGTAATTTCCCCTTAACTACAGGATGTCTTTGATTATATCATTACAACTATTCTCAAGGTGCTTATTAAACCTTTTCATGGTCCATCACTGGTCCTATTATAATCCCAGAGCACTTTAAAAAAGTAAATTTGCCCTATCTGGTAAGTACAAATTTTCCCAAACTATTTCAACAATAACAAAACCCAAGCTTCAAAGCGTACATTCCCTTGATTAGAACCACACATGTATAAACTACATGGAGAACTATTTCCTCAACAAGAAAAAGAAAAGAAATACGGGAATGCATCTTTTCAGTTCAGCAGTGATTGCAATAGGAAATTGTCAAGCTCTTCAATCCCAATTAGAGACTGAAAATAAGTCTTACAGTGGCCCCACCCCATCCCTGATGATCTGCTTTTATCAAGTAAGGCGTTTTATAGACAGTAATGTAAGCAGAGCACTGTTTGCGAGGTGGCAATTTAAGTCAGCCACTGTTCAAGTGCCATCTATCCCTAGAATCCAACGGAACAAACCTATCACACATTGGAGCCAATCGTGCCAGGCAGGTCAAAGTGCAGGCTGCATTTCCTCCTGGATGACTCTGATTTTCCAGCACGATACTGTACAAGGTTGTGCCAAAGGAAGCTTTGCCATCACAGAAAGTGTTTGTGCACAAGCAGGTCGGGACACCTGATGTCTGCTTAATCTCACACTGTTTGCACCAGATTCCAGACTGTTATGGTGCAGCCCCCCACCCCCATGCCCAGGAAGTTTGGGATGGCATGGGAGGTGTTTGATTGGAGGTGCCTTCCACTAAGGCAGTGGCGGGGGTCCTCCTTCTGTCTGAGGGCCCCATTCAGCAGTGGGGAGCTTCCCAGGGGCCACATTCCTGTAGTGAGTGAGGCCAATAGCGAAAAGGGTTGGGGCAAAATGCCAGCAGTTCTTAGCTTAAGAACACAGAGAATTCTGACCACTGGGACACTGTGCAGGAGAAGCACAGAAACGACCTTCACTGCCCTGTGCTCCAGTCCAGTATGTTTTACTAAACTTTTTCCCCATCTAACAAAATAGTTCAGAGGCACGAAGGAGGCTGCCCATAGTCTACAATAGCTCATATCCTTTCCTCTTCAGACATCTCCCCTCTTGCTCATGGGAACACCTCCTTTGTGAGGTCACTTTTCTGACACTGGAAGTCGGCCAGTGTTGTATTTTCCCACCAGCCATGAGGGAGCACTCCCACTTCCAAGGTCAGCCTTGGAGAGGGAAATCTCTCCTAGCCCATGGTCCCTCAGACAATGTTTAGGGGCCACAGGATGGCTCCTTACAGTCCTTACTGCTAAACCTAAGGAGGGACTTTCAATCTTTCAGAATGGCAAAAGCACCACGGAAAAGCTGGAGCCTCACCAAATGATCAGCAGTCAAGGGAAACAAGCGTGGCCATCTGGAGAACCTGCCAAGAAGCAGATCTGGCCGGCAGGCTTGAGGTTCCTTGCCCCTGCTCAAAGGCAAAGCCAGCGTTGCATGCAAGCAGGTCATTCCACATTTTTGCTCCATCTAAGACAGTGGCAGCCAGTCTTTGGGACCCATGTTTTGCACAGAGTATGAGACGGTGCTACTCCTACTCCTCTGTGCCTTCAAATAGTTTTGCCTCTGGCCTACCGGCCCAGGAAGTGGGCAGCAACACAGGAGAGGCAGTTGGAAATGTCCTTCTGAAGGCAGAGCCCTCCCATTCCTACTCTGGGGGGTGCAGCAACCTGCGTCACTTGTGGCATGCGGGGCAGAGGCCACTCACCTGAGCCTGCCAACATGACATACCCAGCCCCTTCATCATAAGCTGCCTTGGCATTTTCCCCAGAATAAAGTGAAACCATTCATCTCTAGAGCTCTACTCACTGCTTTGGAAGAGCAAAGCCCTGTTTTGTGAGAATCCTTACTAGCAGCATGACACATTCAAGCATCAAAGATTTGGGGTTAAATCTTTTTTTTCTGGGTAAGGGAAGGGTTCGCATATTAAGAGCATTTGGAAAACCTGTCAAGAGGAGACAAGCCTAGCATTTCTCGAGACGGCTTTTTAAAAAAAAGACGTAATGGAAGGAAAAATTACCTAAAACATTAGTAATTGTTTAGGTCCAACACATCCTGCCAT